GATTGGAGAGTATAAATTTGAAAAGGTGAGAATCTACCTACCTTGGCTCTGAACCTCTTTCACCTACCTTGGCTCTGAAATCAACTCCGAAAACTCAATTTCCACAGAAGTAAGGAAGAGAGTAACTGCAGCCAACAAGTGCTTTTATGGCATAAGAAAATTCCTTAAATCTGACAACATTAAAAGAGACACCAAGTTGCTAATATATAAAAGCCTAATAAGATCAGTTCTCACCTACACATCTGAAACCTGGACCTTGTCCCAAGCTGATGAGAGGACCATCGCTGCTTTCGAGAGGAAGATACTCCGGTCCATTTTTGGTGGTGTGTGTGACAAGGGAGTGTGGAGAAGGAGAACTAACTCTGAACTCTACAGGATATTCAGAGAACCAGACATTCTGAAGTACCATAAGATTCAGCGCATGAAACGGGCCGGACACATTGTAAGAATGAATGATGACAGAACAACTAAACGAATCTTTTTGGCAAGGTCAACTGGAGCTAGAAAGAGAGGCAGACCCCGACTGAGATGGGCGGATTGCCTCCAAAGGGACTTTACCACAATCAAGGTCAGACACTGGAAAGCCGTGGCATGCAGAAGAAAGGACTGGTGAAGTCTTCTTGAGAAAGCCAGGGTCCACCGAGGACTGTCGAGCTACTGATGATGATGAAATTTTTTTTCAAAAAACTAATTAAAAAAACATTTTTCAGGAGAAATTTTGATTGGACCCTACCTTCCCACCCCTTGAGTACTGCCATAAAGAACGTTAACTCAGACAACCAGTTCAGGAGCACATATAATAGTTATCCAATATAACTGCTAGAAATTTCATGCAGAACAATTTATTGCACACTAGTAATTCATAGAAAAAAAATTCGTTGTCTACTTCTTAAATTTTACAAAAATTGTGAAAACAGAGTTTATCAGTGCCTCTTTTTAATATTAATATATCTTTTGATATAAGAGTTATAATCAATTTCATAGAAAAATGTAGTACTGCTTATTGAATTGTAGAACATGCTTAAAAATTCAATAATCAGGATGTAAGATGGTGCACAGCTTGCAACACGATCAAACAGTAGTAAACAAATGGAAAGAGGCCAAATCAAGACTGCCAAAAAAGCGAGTTATTCAAAATCTAGCAACCATGACACAAAATTGTACACAGTAACTGAACAGTCAGTTTTAAATTCATAAATTATTGATTTCTACACATAAGACTTGATAGACTGTTTAATTCTTCAATCCTACAATGGATAGTGTTTTCTACACTATGGAACGCTGCAAGCTCGGGACTGCCTAAATTTCCGGGTTACTGTTTCAGTTGTATTTTAAAGCCATTTGGCATCATTGTGTTTTGAGATTCTTGCAAACAATGTTTTTGATTATTTATGTTTACAATGCTAACAATACTTGTGTTTACAATACTAAAAGTGTTACCACTAACGTAAGATGGTGCACAGCTTACAACACGAGCAAACAGTAACAAACAAATGGAAAGAGGCCAAATCAAGACTGCCAAAAAAGCGAGTTATTCAAAATCTAGCAGCCATGTCACCTTTTTTAATAATAAATAACAAAANCAGTAGTAGAACTACTTTTCTGCAAATCAATAGAACTCAAAACAACAGCGCTAGCATTATTTGCTATTTTAAATGATGCAAATTATCTAGTTTATTTCTTTTATTGAAAACAAAATTATCCGTTTGAAAACATCTCCTGTCAGAATAACATGTAGTAAGCAGCTGCAAACTTTTTAGTAGTAGGTGCCGAGCTCGAGATTGTTATTGTTCACATTTCTATTGAAAACACCATCCATTAGAAAGAAGATAAAGATTTTTAAAGATCAAAATATTTTTTTCAAATCTGTATTATTTAAATAATGGTATTTTTTTTAAATTAATAACATGACTTAAACATAAACAACAGAAAGAATGCTAAAATTCAGGCAATAGCACTATTTAGTCTAGCTTCACAAGACAGAATCCACAGAAAAACTGCTCCAATCGTTATGAGCTCACGCTTGCGCAGCGAAGATGTCATGTGTAATAAATTTGATTTGTAATAATTAAACATAATTTTTTAAACCTTTAAAGTAATAAGTAATACATTTTTTAATGTCTGTAAAAGGTGACTAAAACCATAAAATAAAGAACTTCGTCACAGCTTAAAAAAAGAAAAAAGAAATGATTGACTGTAATGATATAAAATTAGCTTTTCATACTCAAGTATTTGTTTACTCCCATTTCTGCCTTTTTTGAAATTAGTTACTAAGCACTTTTTTCATGTTTTCATCTAACTCTCTATAAAATTTGAATTTCAAAACTAAAATAGACTTTGCAGACAAGTAAGCTACAAGCTTAAAAAAATTCTTCCACGCAAGTGTTCTAAAATAACATTCAGTAAGTTAGAAAAAATAGCTTTTAAACCTTTTAAAAGCTACACATTTTTAAAAAAAAGAAAAACATGTAGATGTTTGCCCGGGGGTGGCTATGTGGCCTGGACTGTAACTAATAAAAAATTGTCAAGACTAATTTTTTTTTTTATAGCACTTTATGTAAACAGTTATTGTTCAAACTAAAGAATATATTTTACAAATGCAATACGAAGAAGACAGTTTGTCACATTTTATCTTATGCTTTTTATGTTTATCATAAATATTTTTGTCGCAATGAATTAGGGGATATTATCATAATATGATATTTTTCTAAACTATTTACATCATTCATCACAAGGAGTAAGAATTTTTGTCTTCTGGTTTTACATTTTTGAGAGTATCTAAAAAGAAATAAGTTACTATTCATATTTTTACTGTTCATTGGTTTTATCCCTTTGTAGCTTAATGGGAATTTTTTGTATTAAGGGATCACCACACAAGGATCTTTTCTAGTAAGTGCCCCTCTGACTGTCATGTTTTTTACATATATTAGTGCCAAAAAATCAGCTATTAGAGAAAATTAATCTTCTTTAGAGGGAAGTGCTGTACACTATAGCAAAACTAATGGAAAAGCGAAATCATATATATGTAATTACCTTTTTTATAAAATACCTCTTTTAATAACCTGGGAAATTATAAGTAGAAAAGTTTCTAAATAACAAGTTTGTAGGAGTTATTATTTTAGACTTTTACTACCCTATCCAGTTATTATTATAACCATTCAGATGAATTGATCCCAAACAATATCTGGACCAAATTCACAATTAGGTTAAAAGTTATTTCATGATGAGAAACAAAATTTATTAAAAGCTTATTGGTTTAAAGAAAACGAAAAACAAAAGTTTTATCTTAATTTTAAGAGCACTTTTAATACCTGTTTGCAAAAGATAATTAAACAGAAATGTTTCATTACAAAATGAAAAAATATGAAATGAAGCACCACCTTCACAAAAAAAAAACAATTAGCAATTACTAATAGCTTCTTGCCAACTGTCATGCAATTTTTTTTATTTAAAATAAGTTAACAACTAGCTGTGATTGCACCTTAGTTCTTTGTTCAGGATTGCCACAGGCGACTAAAATGCAACTATTTTCAGCATGAGGCGAGAATGGAAACCTTTTTTGGCTAAAAAAGCAACTATTTTCAGGAAAAGGAGACTATTAGGAGACTTTTCTGTACTCCTAGCAATTTTTTTAGCAGAAATTGGGTAGAAAACCTGCAGCCCGCAAAATTTTCTGAACACACTGAATTTCTTTTCTTAA